AGAAGAAGAGGAGCCTCTGCAGTGAGGGGTCTCTCTCTATAGGCCATTTTGAAGGATGTAAACAAAAACATTTGACCTGGGGGGTATTCCAGAAAGCAGGGTTAACTTACCATCTGCTAAAACCTAAACTCTCGGTTGATTTACCCAAAACCTGCTTACCGCGAGTATGTTGGTTCCAAAACAGGTGACAAGAGTTAGTTAAATCAACCTCCTGAAGATAACCGCGGGTTAATGCGCGTGCACGGCACACACCTGAAGGCATTTTCAGTAGATCGCCGAATTCACGAGTCACCATAGAAAGTCACGGTGAGAAAAAAGGGCAACGCACTTTACAGAGGCGAAGCTGGAGGTTTTAAACACAGAGATTACACATCTGCTTCAACGAAGGAGAGAAATATAGAATAAGATAAATAAATAGATAAGAAAATAAAAAATAAATAATGAGAAACTTTATTAGTTCATTAAATTACACATGCCACCTTCCATTTTATTGTAATGATAAATTAAACTACTCTTTAACATCCTTTTTGAGTATGTTGTGTAACCATTCATGCATTTATTTTTCTTGCCATTAATTTCTTAAGGCCACAATATGTGTATTGACTAATAAGGCTTATAGAAATTGTAATCTTTCTGGAGCTAGAACTCTGTCCAAAGTCATTAAACACAGAAACATTATCATAAAAGGTAATATTTAATTACTGGAGCTCTTTATTTAACACTCTAGAATATTCTTTCTGCCATGCAGCTAATAGAAAGAGGCCTGTCTAACTGCTGTGTCCTATAATAAAAGCTTTTAAATAAAGGATTTTATAATAAAGGAGTTTTTGACTTAAACCACACACTCTGTCACTGTTGTAAGTGATTGTTGTCAGATAGCTTTAGGTTCTTTTTATTTTGCATGCAGACAAAGTTCCTTCTGCCTCAACTAACAAGCAGTGTAAGAATTTTCTGCACTTTTCCATATTTGAATATTACTCTTGGATCACAAAATCTTTTATCTACATATTTAAATTCTAAAGTAGCTGTATAAGGTCCATCTTCAAAGATAAAGTCACATGAGCATCAACTTAAGGTGAGAAATGTATATGAAAAATATGTTACACGTTAAAAGGTGTGTGTATAAAGCAGTGTACAAAATCATTCATTTTATTTCAGGAAATTAAGAAATTAACAGACCAAACTATTTGATTAAACAGTTTTTTGACTAATTATATTTTTCTTAGCACTCTTCCATCTGTTTTGTCTGCTTGGGTCACTGAGATTTCCTCTGGGTCAGGCTGCAGGTACGTGTCATCGTATAAGGCAGAAAAGGGTATCTTTTGTCCTCCAGCAAGTAACAATGTAGTGCCCAGTAATGATTCTATTTTATAATACAAATATAATAAAAATAAACATTGTGTTAAGCAACTTTTGCTTTATAGTTTTTTTTACTATATTTGTATTATAAATCAATATCTGTAAGTGAGATTCGAACTCGCTCCGTTGTGCGCTCCGTTGTTCTTTATCGACGCACTGTCCACTACACTATTCCCGTGCTCTGAATCATCAGTGTAATGATACGCAGTAATGTATGACCAAGGAACTGTACAAAAGTGTAAAAATCAGTTCAGTGCCAGGCGTACTGTACAGGTGGTCAGACTGCCACATTGTACAGTTGCCTAAAATGCCCTGATGCGAATACAAAGAGCTGCACTGAATGTTTTTTATGGTAAGCGCAGACCCGCGGTTTGTCACATTTGATTTCAAAAAGGTTTGTTAAATACATTAACATTATGAATTTGGTTATGAAAAAAACTATGCACTTATAACCCTCTCACAACAAAAAAACTTGTATCTGTGCGTCCACATCCATTAATATTCTCATCAAAAGAGCACGCAATGCTCAGTAAACTCTCTGAAACAGACAAACTCTGAAACATAGCAACTTACTCTCTGAACATAACCTGCTCCGGAGCAGGTTATCTTCAGAGAGTAAGTTGCTATGGCTACTTAACATACCCAGAAGTTACCTCCGATTTTGGAACCAAAGTTGAGGTTATCCAACTACTTACTCTCAAACTTACCCGGGTATGTCACATAACCTGCTTTCTGGAACAGCCCCCTGACATACTTCCTGTTTCACATTCATAACTCCTAGAGCTTCTCAGAATCCAAAAACTGCCTCATATTGATCAATAATGTTATGAGAGCAGTTTAACATGACGTTATGATTGAATTGCCTCTTGTTACAGTTATGAAAGAGTTCGATATGGTCTATATTTGTTTACTTAATATTACATACAGAGTTTTAACCCATACAATGTGTTGTTTACTGTTCCTACAATCACACATGTGCATTATAACACTGATTTATGCTTCATGGTCACACATTTATACACTATTTATATCTTTATATCTTGTATTCAGGTTAATTTTGCACTCTTTGGTATCAAATAATAGATGTAAGAGTGTAATATTAACACTGACGTCAAACTCATAATCTGCTGATATATATTACAGTATTCTGGTCCACATTCGCCTGGCTCTTTCCTAACGCAGTCCCCTCGTCTGCAGTGCACTATATTGTGCTCAGTGAGCGAGTGAATGAGACAGAGCCCGTGTTCAGGAAGAGTTTGTGTGTTTAGCTGAAGAGCTAATGCTAGCTGACTCTCGCGCCCCCGAACTTACTCTCGATGATGTTGATGAAGTGTGTGAAGGCCGTGTAATCTCCATTCCTGAACGCGCTGAAGGCCTGGAACGCGTAGAAATCGAAGCTCCAGCGGTTGACGATCTGCTCCCAGCTCGGCTCGCAGGGTTTGTCGCTCATTCTTGCAGATTTAATGTGAGCCTCGGCAGCATAACTCCCGCGGGCGCGCTCAGACTGTAGGACAGGGGCGGGGCTTAGCGGCGAGGCGGCCCCGATTGGCCAGCAGCGATGCTGACGGCGCGAACGTCACTGGAAAATATTACTTCAGTTATTATTATTGTGAATATAATGATTTTACAGAGTTAGCTTCCGTATTCTAGTTTAGTTTTGACCCCCTATTAAGGAATTTTTTTAAAGTTAAATTGACTTAAAACTCAAATAAATGGAAAGTAGCTGTAGTTATGAAGTACACACACATATTTTGATTAAAACTAATTGTTTTAAACTATTAATACTGTTTTATTAGGAACACAAAACACACATTTTGTCAAAATTATGAAGCTTTAGTTTTTAGAAAATCATTCATTCTCCTTCAGCTTAGTCCCTTTAATAATCAGCGGTTGCCACAGAGGAATGAACCGCCAACTATTCCAGCATGTTTTACACAGCGGATGCCCTTCCAGCAGCAACCTAACACTGGAAAAAGTGCATTATTATTAAAAGGTATTATTATTAATTCATTCTCCTTCATTTAGCCTTTGGTTTATCAGGGGTCACCACAGCGGAATGAACCACCAACTCTTCCAGCATATGTTTCACACAACAGATGCACACACACACACTTTCCTTTAAAAGTGGCCATTTAAAATGAGTCAGACTCATTAAAATGAGCATTTATTCAGTAAAGACGTAATAATCAAACACAAACTCATCAGTAGTGGTGGTGAACACCTGCAAACAGAAACACATCTGTTTTAGTTTAGTTTAGTTTAAATAAAATAATAAATAAATCCCTTTTTTTAAACAACTTTTGTGTTTTGGCATGCTAATATTTTTATTGTATTTAGGTTTATGTGTGTATAATGCCAAATATGATAAATGCATTTATTTCCACATTATTTAGTGACATGATGGCTGTTTTCTAGCCTGATACGTGTTGTTAAAAATGCAGTGAGCGAGAGTAAATGTACTGTAATGTGGAGTCTGTATGTTAGTGTGCTGTATAAATAGTCTAACTAATCCGTCTTCGAGAGGCAGCTTCAGCTGTGTGAGTGTAATCAAGTGGTATCAGGAACCGGTGTGTGTGTGTGGTGCATGACCGGACTTGTAGTTCTTGAAATGGTGGATGTGTAGTCCGTTAGCGATCTGTGTGTGTACCAGCGATCTGCACAGGCTGGAATGATGGTGACCGTGACAAAACCTTTATGAGTGTCTTTCTTCTGTTGAACATAAAGGAAGATATTTTGAAGAATGCTGGACATCTGTAACCATTCACTTCTACAGCAGGACAAACAAATACTATGGAAGTCAATGGTTACCGGTTTCCAGCATTCTTCGAAACATCTTATATTTAATAGAACAGAGGACAGACACTCATAAAGGTTTGACAGAAGTAAAGGATGAAGAAATGATGAAGGAACTGTAGATTTGGCGTCAGCTGTGTCTTTAAACATTAAACTCCTTTATACAGTCAATCTAAACATGAACATACATGAAGCAGCACCAATAAATGAACACACAACAGAAAAACCTGACACTAAAATGCTGTACAAATCTAAATTAACCCATCAGACTGACCACAAACTCACTAAGTGTAGTGAACAATTCATTGAGGAACAAATACGGGAAATATGATCAATAAAACACTGAATATCCACAGTTTAATCACTATACAGATATATTTATTGAACACTTTTACTTGATGAAGACTCGTAATGTGTCGTCAGTGATGACACTGCTGTAATATAGTGTTACTGAAGATGAACTCAACACTAATGTGAAGACTTCTCATTAACCTGAATCTAAAACACACTCTTTACACAGCACTAATGAAGCAGCAGCACACACACACACACACACACACACACACACACTCTGAAACTGCACACAAACATCAATTAACACATAAACATAAGCATAAAACAGCTTTCAAACATGATAAAGTGAATACTTTATACGAAAAAAAGTTGCTGTAAGTGTGTGTGTGTGTGTGTGTGTGTGTGAGAAACCGGTTCTGGGAGGATGCAGATGTTTGAGGGAAATCAGTGCCACGTCTGAAGGAGGAGGAGCAGCAGAACACGTCATCTTCATCGCTCTGACGTCATCATCACCACCACAGAAACTCTTCTTCACTTCTCCAACTCTCTCTCTCCGGGAGTTCAAGCCATCTCTCTCTCCGGTTCCGCGGGGCCGGTAATGCGCGCGCACTCACTCACGGTAAGATGACCGGGAAGAACAAAAACAAGAGCAACTCGGCCTCCAGCGGGGGACCCGCGCCCGAGGAGTCCGGCAAGAACAGCCCGAGAGCCGGTAAAGCTGCGGCGAAGAGCTCCGGGGGCGGCGGAGGAGCGCGCGCGCTGATGGTGCTCGTGCCCGTGGCGGCCGTGGTCGCGCTCGCAGCTGTATTTGTGCACCTGGAGCTGGAGGACATCCGACGCACGAGCAGCGGGCACGAGCAGGCCCTGGGGAGGTGTTCGGGGGCAGCGCAGGAGCTGGAGGAGGCCCTGGAGCAGGTGAGGGGTCCGGAGACGAAATTACCACGGTATCACTACAGTAAAAGGGCGGTCACTACTGTCAAAGGGCTTCCATTACAATAAAGGTGCTTCATTACAGTGATGTAAAGTGTAAAGTGATAATAAAGTGACGAGTAAATGTGGTTTTAGTGTAGTAAATGGGGGTTTATTATAGAGTTAAAATTATATTTCTGTGGTATCACAGTGGTAAAAGTGGTTTAATTACAGTAAAAGTGATGTTTCAGTGGTTTTACCATAGTAAAAGTGATGTTTCTGTGGTTTAATTATAGTAAAACTGATGTTTCAGTGGTGTTATTACAGTAAAAGTGATGTTTCTGTGCTAATATTAGAGTAAATGTGGCATTACCATGGTTTTACCATAGTAAAAGTGACGTTTCAGTGGTTTTACCATAGTAAAAGTGATGTTTCTTTGGTTTAATTACTTTAAAAGTGACGTTTCAGTGGTTTTACCATAGTAAAAGTGATGTTTCTGTGGTTTAATTATAGTAAAACTGATGTTTCAGTGGTGTTATTACAGTAAAAGTGATGTTTCTGTGCTAATATTAGAGTAAATGTGGCATTACCATGGTTTTACCATAGTAAAAGTGACGTTTCAGTGGTTTTACCATAGTGAAAGTGATGTTCCTGTGGTTTAATAACAGTAAAAGTGACGTTTCAGTGGTTTTACCATAGTAAAAGTGATGTGTCTGTGGTTTAATTACGTTAAAAGTGACGTTTCAGTGGTTTTACCATAGTAAAAGTGATGTTTCTGTGGTTTTACCATAGTGAAAGTGATGTTTCTGTGGTTTAATTACAGTAAAAGTGATGTTTCAGTGGTTTTACCATAGTAAAAGTGATGTTTCAGTGGTTTTACCATAGTAAAAGTGATGTTTCAGTGGTTTTACCATAGTAAAAGTGATGTTTCTGTGGTTTTACCATAGTATAAGTGATGTTTCTGTGGTTTTACCATAGTAAAAGTGATGTTTCAGTGGTTTTACCATAGTATAAGTGATGTTTCTGTGGTTTTACCATAGTAAAAGTGATGTTTCAGTGGTTTTACCATAGTAAAAGTGATGTTTCAGTGGTTTTACCATAGTATAAGTGATGTTTCAGTGGTTTTACCATAGTATAAGTGATGTTTCAGTGGTTTTACCATAGTAAAAGTGATGTTTTTGTGGTTTAATTACAGTAAAAGTGATGTTTTTGTGGTTTAATTACAGTAAAAGTGACGTTTCAGTGGTTTAATTACAGTAAAAGTGACGTTTCAGTGGTTTAATTACAGTAAAAGTAAGATTTCTGTGCTAATATTAGAGTAAATGTGGTATTACCATGGTTTTATCATAGTAAAAGTGATGTTTCTGTGGTTTAAGTACAGTAAAAGTGATGTTTCAGTGCTAATATTAGAGTAAATGTGGCATTACCCTGGTTTTATCATAGTAAAAGTGATGTTTTAGTGGTATTATAAGAGTAAAAGTGATATTTTTGTGGTTTGATCACAGTAAAAGTGATGTTTCGGTGTTATTATCATAGTAAATGTGGTATTACCATGGTTTTACCATAGTAAAAGTGATGTTTCCACTGAAGTTAAACAATCTTTCAGTGGTTTTACTACAAATGATATGCTGAAACTAGGATTAGTGTTGTAAAACCACAGTAAATTTGAGGTTTCCATGCTTTAAAAGCAATATTATTAGTGTATTAGATCATCAGAGCGGTGTAATGATGATCTGTCATCTGTACACATGAGAGAGATGCATTATATTCAGCTCAAATGAACACCGCTGGAGCTGCAGGCTGTGAGGAGCATGTGTTGGCCTGTGATTGGCTGACAGGGCTCTATGCTCCGCCCAGCAGCTCAGCTATTGAGTTCTGGGCTGTGTTTTGGGCTGCTCTGCTCCTCATCTTCACTCCGCCTAAGAGAACAGCCAGATCAGTGCACGCGCTCCTGCTGACTCTGTTAAACCTGATTATCTGGATGCTCAGTGTTTCTGTAAGCCTGCAGCGCTGAGGTCTTGAGGAACAGGTCTGGAGACACCCGTTTGTAGATCCACTGGTCACGCTGCTGCCACTGTGCACTTCCCATACAGACGATGTGAAAGTTCTGCCATGAGCCGGTCAGTTTCTCAGAGTAAAGCTCGGTATAGAGCTGACCGTGAGCAACACAGAGGAGTTTTCTGATATATCTGCTGCTCTATGTGTGTGTGTGTGTTACACTGTTGAGTATTCTGCATATCTGAGCGTTCCTCTCCTCATCTCTCTGTGTGTGTGTGTGTGTGTGTGCAGCTGCGCTCCCTGAAGGCGTCTCTGGAGGGTCTGGAGGACGCAGTGGCCCTGACCCGCTCTGATCTGGACCGCACCAGCCGCTCCGTCCAGCAGGGGGAGCTCAGCACCCGGCGCCTGGAGGACACGCTGCAGGGCCTGCAGAAGAAGACCGTCCCGGAGCTCTCGCTGCGCCTGCAGGAGCAGACGGATGCCCGCGGGAGGGAGATCGCCCTGCTGGAGGAGCGGCTGTCCCAGCGGAGCCACCCTGTGGAGGAGCGCCTGGAGCAGCTGACCCGAGAACAGCAGAGCTTTAAGGAGGATCTGCAGGAGCTGAGGGCCCGTCTGGAGAAGCAGGACGTCCCGGCGGCCCTCACACAGCAGCTGAACACCATCAGCAGCGCTATCACCGTCCTCAACACCGCTAATGAGGTGTCCGAGGGGAACGCAGCCGTCCTCCGGGAGCAGATCTCCGCAGTCAGCGCCGAACTGCAGACCAGGAACCGGGAGGTGCAATCAGTGTCGGAGGAGATCAAGGCCATGCGGACGCTCATACAGAGCACCGTGGGCAGTCTGAGAAAGGAGGCGTCTGAGGCCCGCTCCAGCGCTCAGACCTCCGCAGACCAGGCCCAGAGCTTCATCCTCAAGCAGGACCAGCTCTCAGACGCCCTCCACAGCCTGGACACCCGGCTCACTGACGGCCTGCTCAAGCTGGAGCTCCGGCTGAAGACCGCAGAGGACAGCCAGCAGCTCACCGACATCAGCAGCACGCTGGACGCGCTGGTGTCCCAGCACCGAGCCCTGGAGGAGCGGAGGACGGAGGACGCAGAGAAGCGGAGCGCGGACCTGCAGGAGCTGAGGAGCAGGATCGAGGAGCTGCAGAGACTACAGGCCGCGGTGGAGGAGATCCGGACTCGACTGCAGGAGCTGGAGAACAGCACAGAGAGTCCGTCTGAGGAGAAGAGCAAACCCACACAGAGTCCATCTGGACCAGTCTGAGAGGAGCCGGAGCGGTCCATCATGGGGATCAGGGTGTAGGGCAGGGATGGGCAAACTTGATCCCTGCAGAGTTCATCTCCAACCCTAATCAAACACCCCTGAGTGTGGCTGTCTAATGCAGACCGGATCAGCTGTGTGTGACTAGTGTTGGAGCAGAGCTCTGCAGGGTCGCCCACGCCTGCTGCAGGGGAGGATGAGTCTGCATCCGCTCTGAGATCTCCTGAATGCATCGAGATGTTCTCTGGAATCACTCCTGAGCTTGGTCTAATAGCGGAGTCAGCATTATTAGCTCTCCCTCAGGTGGATCCAGAACACAGTGAAGGATATGTTGAAGAAAGCTTTGATGATTAATGAAAATCAGCATTCTGAAGACCTCAGAGACTCTCGGTCCTCCTCGGGCTTTATATCCGGGTGGTGGAAATGTGAACACGTCTTTAATAATGATGATGATGACGATGATGGGTGATCTGCTGTTTCCTCAGTCTACTCAGACCTGCACTGTCCTCTTTACCTCCTCATCTGTCTGTACTGAAGTCTGTTGATTGAATGTCTGTGGTTTACGGCTGTTTTCTAATAAAGCGTTTGACACACTGTCCAGTGAACGTCTCCATGACTCTACTGGATCAAGCGGATCTCTGAAACATAGTGTTCCTTAATCAGGGGTCACCATAGGCGGAATGAACCGCCAACTATTCCAGCATATGTTTTACACAGCGGATACCCTTCCAGCACTGGGAAACACCCATACACACTATTCCTACACTGACTTCCATCCAAACTGCTTCCAAAAGTCACTTTTAAAATCATCCAGACTCACTAAATTGGTAAACCACAGCAGATATTTGGGCTTTCATCACTATTATATTTTATAATAAATGACATACACAATCAAAACATTAAAGGCACGCTGCTAAAACCACGTCTGACACACTATAATCAGCTGTATCATATAGCAGATGTTTTAGTGGACGATGGTTGAGGAACTGAGCACTGTCATTATTAAACAGCTGATGTTTATCCAGATCAAGAGAATCATTCATTAAACACATCACCACTGAGTTAAGCTGAGCTTAGAAGACAAGTTTAACGTCTGATAAAACAGAGCAGAAGCACCTGTACACTCAGGTAAACGACCAACATTTCAAGCAGGGGTGTGTGTGAATAACACAAGGCATTTGCATTAGTGTCAAGCTACATTCTGAGGAGTTTCTGCCTATAGGGCATTGGAATGGAAGCCCCTGGGTAAGGCACACCCTCAGCAGTGGTTCAACAGATACCTGAAGATCTGCATCTGTTAATCTGATTATGTCTATTCCTGAGGGACCATTGTAGCAGTCGCACTGAGGCATTTCAGATGATCAGACATGATAGAGAAGGTCACTTGGGTTGATTTAGAACATTCACACTTTGAAGTGACCATTCAGAGTGAACAGAGGGTTGTGGGAGGGGCTTCACATGTAAATAACAGAGAGGAGCTGGCTTTCCCGCATTCCCACCTGGTGAGGTGTGGAGTCAGCCCATGCGTGTGTTGTCAAAGACATCAGAGTATCTTGGTGTCTCATATTTATATATATATATATATATACAGTAATCTCAATCAGATCCTCTTTTAATATCAGTAAGTGTCAGTCAGAGTGTTTTCATCAAGTCTGATTATTAAAAATACAATTAATTCATGTTGATCATTAGAGCTGCTGGAGAAATTCACACACACTACTGTGTTTAAACCCCACATTAAAGTATTTCTGCATGATATCTCCGCTTTAAGGCCTCAACATACTCTGGAAATGATGTTAGTTTGAGCTAAACTGTGCTGGTGGCTTTAGTCAGGTTCAGCGGTGTGGAGCAGCTCATCTAACCACATTACAGATTCCTACACACCTTCGAGCTGCCATTGGGCGGTGGTGATTATGCAATCAGTGGGCGTGACCTGAATCTCTGCCTTCTTTGAGCTGTGATTGGTTAGTTTGTCGTTCCACAGCAGAACATCATCCACACACTGAGCAGTAGCAGAGATGGGCAACACTCTGAGGGGGTCACAAGAACCACACAAGCCCACAAGGAGTGTCTGTGTTCTCCTACACCTGAACTCAACTGGGGTCCTGATGCTCGCTGTTCTCCACTGAACACTGCTCTTCTTCTCCACGCTTCTCCAGATGTTCTTCTCGTCTGTGGTTCTCCAGATGGTTGTCTTCAGTGTCTATGACGTCTTCACTGTGGTTCTCCAGATGTTATTCTTGTCTGTGGTTCTCCAGATGTTCTTTTTGTCTGTGGTTCTCCAGATGTTCATCGTCAGTGTCTATGATGTCTTCTCTGTGGTTCTCCAGATGTTCTTGTTTGTGGTTCTTTGGATGGTTGTCTTCAGAGTCTATGATGTCTTCTCTGTGGTTTTCTACATGTTCTTCTTGTCTGTGGTTCTCCAGATGTTCATCTTCAGTGTCTATGTTGTCTTGTCTGTGGTTCTCCAGATGTTCTTCTTGTCTGTGGTTCTCCAGATGGTTGTCTTCAGAGTCTATGATGTCTTCTCTGTGTTTCTCTAGATGTTCTTCTCGTCTGTGGTTCTCCAGATGGTTGTCTTTAGTGTCTATGACGTCTTCACTGTGGTTCTCCAGATGTTATTCTTGTCTGTGGTTCTCCAGATGTTCATCTTCAGTGTCTATGTTGTCTTGTCTGTGGTTCTCCAGATGTTCTTCTTGTCTGTGGTTCTCCAGATGTTCATCTTCAGTGTCTATGTTGTCTTGTCTGTGGTTCTCCAGATGTTATTCTTGTCTGTGGTTCTCCAGATGTTCTTTTCGTCTGTGGTTCTCCAGATGTTCATTGTCAGTGTCTATGATGTCTTCTCTGTGGTTCTCCAGATGTTCTTTTCGTCTGTGGTTCTCCAGATGTTCATCGTCAGTGTCTATGACGTCTTCACTGTGGTTCTCCAGATGTTATTCTTCAGTGTCTATGTTGTCTTGTCTGTGGTTCTCCAGATGTTATTCTTGTCTGTGGTTCTCCAGATGTTCATCTTCAGTGTCTATGTTGTCTTGTCTGTGGTTCTCCAGATGTTATTCTTGTCTGTGGTTCTCCAGATGTTCTTTTCGTCTGTGGTTCTCCAGATGTTCATTTTCAGTGTCTATGATGTCTTCTCTGTGGTTCTCCAGATGTTCTTGTTTGTGGTTCTTTGGATGGTTGTCTTTAGTGTCTATGATGTCTTCTCTGTGGTTCTCCAGATGTTCATCTTCAGTGTCTATGTTGTCTTGTCTGTGGTTCTCCAGATGTTCTTCTTGTCTGTGGTTCTCCAGATGTTCATCTTCAGTGTCTATGTTGTCTTGTCTGTGGTTCTCCAGATGTTCTTCTTGTCTGTGGTTCTCCAGATGTTCATCCTCAGTGTCTATGTTGTCTTGTCTGTGGTTCTCCAGATGTTCTTCTTGTCTGTGGTTCTCCAGATGGTTGTCTTCAGAGTCTATGATGTCTTCTCTGTGGTTCTCTACATGTTCTTCTTGTCTGTGGTTCTCCAGATGTTCATCTTCAGTGTCTATGTTGCCCTGTCTGTGGTTCTCCAGATGTTCTTCTCGTCTGTGGTTCTCCAGATGTTCTTCTTGTCTGTGGTTCTCTAGATGGTTGTCTTCAGTGTCTATGATGTCTTCTCTGTCGTTCTCCAGATGTTCTTCTTCTTTTTGGTTCTCCTTCTGAGAGTTTATCATATCTTCTCGGTGGGTCTTGAGTTGTTCTCTGTTTTTCTCCTCCATCTCCTCCTGAGTGTTGATCATGTGTTCTCTGTGGTCCTCCAGCTCCTCTTCTCCTCTGGGTTCTTCCATGGTGTTGTTGATGATGTCTCCTCTGGGTTCCTGCATGATGTTGTAGTGGAGTATGTCGTACGCGATGTGTCCGATTCGCAGTGTGAGCTCGTCCAGCCTTGTCTCCAGCGTGTTCAGGCGTGTGTGTGTGGATCTGAGCGTGGGCTGGAGGTCTGCGCTGTAGCTGGCGCTCCTCCTCAGCGTGGCCTGCGTGCTCTGCAGCTCCAGCATGCGGGTGGAGAGTGTGTGTTGTGTGGAGGAGAGCTGCTGCAGGTGTGTGTGGAGCTGCTGGAGGCGCTGCGCGTGGCTCTCGGCGGAGCTCCTGACGGCGGACACGCGGCTGATGCTGTCGGCCAGCAGATCCCCCACGCGCCGCACCATCAGCTTCTCCAGCCGGCCCTGCTCCTCCTGCAGGCTGGAGGTGTGCTGCAGCAGGTCCTGCACCTCCATCTGGAGCCCCGACACACGCCTGACGTCTGTGCGGATGGAGGACAGGCTGGAGGACACGCCGGACCACAGCACACTGCAGCACAACACACACTCATTAGAACACACACAGTACACTCACACCATCTATCATAGACCTGCTGTGAGTTTCAGAGCTGAACAGAGAGTGTGTGTGTGTGTGTGCGCAGTACCTGCTGTGGTTGTCCATGTCCTGCAGGCTGAGGGCGAGCGAGCTGATGTTCTGCCGGAGCTGCTGAGACTGCAGAGAGAGACTGGAGAAGCCCTGCTGGAGCTCTGACACCCGCTCATACACACTCTCCATCTGAGACACACACACTCCTGAGTCCAGCGCAGACACCAGCGCATGCACACTCGCACACTGAGGGAGAGAAACACACACACACACACACACACACACACACACTGAGTTGATGAAGGCTGCAGCGTGCTGGAGTAGTGCAGTGATCACTGTGATGAGTGGCATGTTTGTTTACATTACTGCAGCTGTGTTGCCATGGCAACTGTAGAATTTCTAAATGGTCTGTTGATCTGGATAACTGATCTCTGGCTAATGTGGTTCTTCAAACAAGTCAGTGAGTCAGATTAGAGTGTCTGGATGAGCTGATCTGAGATCTGTGTGTGTTGTGGAGGACTGATCTATCCATCCTCCAAATCATGATCAGCAGTGCAGTGATTGGCTGACGGCACAGCAGCGTGATGACATCATCTGATTAATATTCACTTATCCATGTGAGCTCAACTATATACAATTCAATGTACAGTTTAAGAAATATGACACGCAATAACTCTCCACATTTGTTTAAAGCTGCAGCCGCTACACTATCATGTGTCAAAAGTATTGAGCAATTTATTTAGGTTTACAGTTAGAGCGGATTTCCTTTACTACAGTCGCCTGCTCAAGTGTCTTAATCACCGTAAGGACAGTGGCTTTAATTAATTTGCATCAAAAAAAGGTAAAAGTGTCTGCAACTGTTGCGAAGCACCAAATCACCGTCATATTAGCGGTCAAACAATTCTTTAATCAAAAATACACAAACAAACAGCTTTAAACATTTCAGAAACTGTACCAAAGCTGGATCAGTACCTTAAAACAGTATACATTTAAATACAAAGAAAAAATCCATATTAATAAATGTTTTCTTTGATTTTTGGGGAGAACCACCTCATTTTTTTATTAACTTAATATGTATGTATATGTATGTGTATATATATATATATATATATATATATATATATATATATATATATATATATATATATATATATATATATATATATATATATATGTGTGTGTGTGTGTGTGTATATATATATATACATACATATATACATACATATTATATATATATATATATATATATTAAGGGTGTCACGATTCGATTCGATTTTCGATTATGAATAATTAATTAATTAATAACAAATTAATTATTTGTAGCCTACCGTTTAAACTACCTGACCTGCATGGTCTTTGTTTTACCCATAAACAAATCATACAGTAAATGAATAGGGCAATTTACACACATAATTACCACCTGTCAATCACTTTTTTCTCGTGAATAGGCAGTGATCTGTGTTGTTATAATGGCGTCGGTAAAAAAAGGTGCACAACCAACAGGAACCAGCCAACAGTATCTGAGGTGTTCGCTAAAATGACTAAAAAAGATTGAAGCAGTCTTAATTAGGTTAATTAGGTTAACCAGGCAGGCTAGGGTAATTAGGCAAGATATTGTATAAAGATGGTTTGTTCTGGAGACAGTCTGAAAAACAATTAGCTTAAGGGGCTAATAAATTTGACCTTAAAATGGTTCATAAAAAAAATTAAGAACTGCTTTTAACAACAATTAAGACTTTGTTCATAAGAAAAAATATTATCAGACAAACTATAAACATTTCCTTGCTCTGTTATTCACATCATATAGGAAATATTTTAAAAAGAAAAAAACAACAAAGGGGGGTTAAAAACTCTGACTTCAAGTGTATATATATTTACAGTAATTTATTAATGTTTTTAAGAAAACTTATTCAGTTCATCAAGGCTACATTTATTAAATGTAAAAAAATGTTAAATATTTATCAAAATTTTAAATAACTGCTTTGTTATTGTACGTAGTTTCAAATAAAATTATTACTCCAGACATTATTGCTTTTATTACTATAATAAATATAATAATAACTAATATTAGTGATTTCTGAGGGATCATGTGACTGGAGTAATGAAGCTGAAATTTCATCATTAAAATCACTGGAATAAACGAATAAATTAAATGATAAACTACTTTTGAACAGTTATTTTATAGTGCAACATTTCACAATTTGTATTTATGATGAAATAATTGCAGCCTTGGTGAGCAGAAGAAGCGTTGTATAAATGCAATATCACACGAGTAGCAGTGCCATATGGCTGTATATCAGCACTGGTGGAGGCACTAAGGCACTCAGCTGAACATATATATATATATATATACACACACACACACACACACACACACACACACACACACACACACACACACACACACACACAGATTATTGATTAATATTAAATATTATTATATATGTGTATATATAAACTTTTTAAAAACTATTTAACTTCCCCCCCCCCAACTGTATATAACCTATAGGCAGGGCCAGACTGAATCTGCAATCATTTTCTGCTATTTCGGTGCAGGATTGTGTTAAAAATCTGTGGATTTATGCGGAATTATTTCGGCAGTATCATAACTAATAACAATATATGAAATAAAAAATATCTCAACTTTTATTTAATGTTTAAAATGCAAATCCAACTAGATCCACTTGATTTAGTAAACAAAGCAAGTCTCTCGTTTAATATCGCTTCTAAAATATTACTTAATAAACAATATGTACACACATTTACACAAGTAAACGAGCAGAACCAGTGATGGATGAGTACTGCATGTGGGTAGAACAGACCCCAGATACATTACTGCAGTGTTCCAGTTCAACAGCATCTGTAAAAACACTAATATCTCGCTAAGCTGCTGTTAAAACACACACAACAGTGATGAAAACACCACTACACATTGAGGAATACATGGCAGATACAGACACCTTCAGCACAGACATCTCACTCGCTCTGTGTTAGAGGTCTCCATGGTGGAATGAACCGCCAATATTCAGTTAGTCGAACAATGACTTTTAATGTAAACGCTTATCTCACACACACACACACACACACACACACACACACACACACACACACACGTTTCAGCCGCCGCCTCAACATAAGTAACCCTCACCAGCAGCTCCACTCAGCAATATCAGTTCTAAAGCAGTCGACCAATCAGAAGATCTGAGAGGCGGGGCCAGTGCTGTGAGCTTCTGTTTACATGTGCTGTATGCTCCGCCCTCCTCCTCCATCAGTGGTCTCCTCCAGCGCCTCCACCTTCCTCAGAGTGTCCTCCATCCTCCTCCACCCTGCGCTGACCTGCGCTCTGAGCTTCAGCAGCGCGCGCACACACTCCTCCACCCGCGGCCGCTGCGTCTCCTGCCAGGAGTGTGTGTGCTGAGCGCAGTCCTCCACCTGCTCTGTCAGGCGGTGTGTGTGCTGCGCGAGTGTTTCACTGTGTTGCTGGAGGAGCGCGAGGCGGTGTGTGTGTCGCTGCAGCAGCTCCTGCAGGTGGTGTGTGTCCTCCTGCTCGGTGCGCTCCAGCGCGCGCGCGTTCCTGCCGATGCCGGCCTGCAGCTCCGTCAGCTGCTCCGACACGCTCGCCTCCGCCGCGTTAATCTGCTGCGTCAGCTGCGCGTGTGCGGCGCGCGTCTGCGTCTGCAGTGTGTGCAGCTCTGCGCCCGCCTCCGCCTGTCTGCTCCGCCAGAGCTCCGTCAGGGTGCGAAGCCGCTGCTGCAGGGTGTGTGCATGCTGCGCAGACGCTTCCTGCTCCATCTGTGTGCTCCGCCACTGCTCCGTCAGCTGCTGCAGAGTGTGTGTGTGCTGCGCAGAAGTGTGTGTGTGCTGCGCAGACGCCTCCCGCTCCACCCGCAGGTCTGCAGACGTGTTGACGATGGAGGAGACGGAGCGATGCAGCTCAGACAGATGGGACACAGCGTCTGCGGAGGCCTGCAGCTGCACACACACACACACACACACACACACACACACACACACAGGTTGGTTTTGGTGAATAGCGGGACACTCCACAGGTCTCCACTGTGTTTATGGAGTACACACTGTATATTCTCGCCCCCTCCACCCCTCAGAGGAGACTGCACTTTCTGAAAGCTCTTTTGGAGATCAGCATGTCCTCATAATACACCTTCGCCAGTAACATTTGTCACACACATCCTCTTTTTTACCATTTTTAAATTAAAGTCCTGCTTTATTCAGCATCTGACTGGTAAACTACATCATTTCTAGGCGACTGAAGCACGTGTGCTCCACATATTTCTACACCTGACCGTGTTGGTTCTTGCACTGCTGGAGGTGTGTGTGTGTGTGTGTGTGTGTGTGTGTGTGTGTGTGTGTTGACTGACCTGCGCAGAGATCTCCTCCATCTTCTCCTCCATCTGATCAGAGCTGCGGCTGCGCTCCAGCAGAGCCTCGTACTTCTGCTCCACCTCTGACAGCCTCCAGCCCTGCTGCACATAGAGCCTGTGGAGATGGAGGAGGGTGGAGGAGTGCAGTATTCAAACAGCAAGCTCTGCTGGTGAACATTAACATTAGCAAACACACCAAGCTAACAAGAACTAACAGTCACCGCCATTCATTCATTTTTTCGGCTTAGTTCCTTTATTAGTCTGGGGTCACCACTGAGGAATGACCCACCAACTATTGCAGCATAGTTTTTACACAGCGGATGCCCTTCCAGCTGCATCCTAGAAGTGGGAAACACCTATACACACTCATACACTACTGATAATTTAGCTTACCCAAACAATGGCCAGTATATGCCCGTTAACTTGTGTTAATAAGCTTAATAACACTGTAATCAATTATAGGTTCATTTTAGAAAATACATTACCTCACTGAATCTCATTTTTAAGTTTTATCGACTATTTTCAAGGTGATTTTCTTACTATTTACTTCATTATTGTAAACCCTCAGGCTAATATTCTCACAAGCCGACTGTAAAATTACTTTAAACTGCTTTCAGATGATCTATAAATCTCATGTTGAGTGCTTTTGAGTCTCTGAGAATAGCTGAGAACGACTTAAGTGAGTTTTAAGCGGCTGGACTCACCCTGAGAGGATCAGCGGCACGCAGAGGTAGAGCAGGCCGCCGCGGGAGAGCGAGAGTCCGGCTGCGCGCTCAGAGGGGGCCGCGGTGATGGAGCGCTCGCTCCGGGTCTCCTCCTCTGAGTCCCGCGAACGCTGTGAGCTCCTCTGCCGCTGCTTCATGACTGACTCCAAGTGACTCTGCCTTAGCGGTGAGAGCGGGGATCAGAGCGCTTCATCCTCCGTTAGACCGGGATCGTAATAGCTGCAGTTTAACTTTACCGGAAAACCGCCGCCGAACTCAAAAAAACGCCACGCAGAACATCCGGGGAACGGACACGCGCGTGGAGTGGGCGGGGCTTAGAGAAGGGTAAATAAAACCTCCTCAGCTATTACGAAGCGCGCCAGTGTCTCGATAACCGTCCGCGCTACAGTCTAAAAACACTCTGAAAGGCACTATAAAACACTCCAAACAACTGTACAATTACTATTTGTTTCATAGTGCAGGAAAAGGAAACTAAAGTATATAATTTATAGTAAAATAACGCGGTGGAAGAGTACCTAAAGAACCGGTTGTGGTGATCGTACAGTTGCTATGGTAACACAAATGACCCGATAACTATTTTCTACCAGTGTTACTAATTATAATGATTTTACGAGTAATTATAATGTTTAAAGTATCTTTTACTGTTAGTTAGTAGTTTAAATAGTCTTACTTTGTCCACTCTACTGTAGTATTGACTATAAATGACTGTAGTATTGTTCATGTTGGTTATGACAGACCAATGTGTGAAGTGAAGTGTAGTGGCCATGGCCGGTGAATGAACACTGATTTGACTGTGTTTACCAGATGTAGATGGTAAATGAGCACACTGGAGCGCTGTTATTGGGCAATATCTGCTCTTTATTGATTTACACCAGTTCACCACATTAATCTCCCACCAGTAAAGTGACCCTCATATACCATAAAGCAAATAAACACACACAGATAAGGCAACAGGGTGAATAAGACTGGATCATCTTCATTATTATTCTCTTCATTATTCCCACATGTGTGTGTGCGCTGTGCTCTATGCTAATTCTATCACCGTCTTCATTCCACACCTCTAATAAAGCTCTGATTATAGTCTCGCTGTAGTATGAACAGCAGGAGTAGTGCAATATAAAGCCTAGTAAACACTCCTCTTCATGTAGAAAGATGAGTTCGGTCCAGAACGGTTCAGTCAGCGCTCGACACACTACTGTAAACCCCCAACAACAGCGCTCGATAGAGGATATCTGCAGCACACAGCCACCCATCAGGTGCTGTAGCGGTCCTGCGGGAGAAACACACACACACACACTTATTGATCAGTTTATAAGTGGACTAAGAGACACTTCAGCGTTCATATCCATTATAGAAGCTGTGAATGAGTCTCTGCTGTGTGTAGAGTGTGTGTGTGTGTGTGTGTGTGTGTGTGAGTTTGAGGCTTTGATCCTAACTGCGGTGACTGTCGCTTTAAATGCAAATGAGATAGTGTAAAAGTAAATAAACGAGTGTAAAGCCAGCACAAAAGCTCTACTAATAATGTAACTGTGCTTAGAGGGCAGATCAATATTATTATGAATATTAATGAGCTGATGTCATCACTCTAGCCAATCACTGCACTGCTGATCAGGATATTCAGATGGAGAGATCTGTGCTTCACATTAAACTCCAGCTTACGCTCTGATTAAGCATCAGTGTGTGTGTGTGTGTGTGTGTGACCGACCTGTATGGTGGACACGACGCCGCTGGCCATCCCCGACAGCTTCCCGGCCACAGACCGCACTCCACTCCGCAGCTGGGTCATGTCCGGCACCGAGGACAGAACACTGCTCAGACGGTACGAGCTGGAGCCTGACACACACACACACACACACACGTTAATATAACCTTCACGCAATATCAGAGGAGTACACAGCTCACACTTGAAGCTTCAGTGAAGTGCTTTGTCAAGTATCCAATCAAAACGCAGATTTCAATCTCAACTGAAAGAGAGGGTGGGGCATATAGTAGCCCCTCCCCTTTAAAAAAAAATCAGCCAATAGTGTTGTTTTTGCTAGTGAGAGTGATTGAGCTCAAGCGTATCAAACAGCCAATGAGAAGAAGGGGGCGGGGCATGCCAGACACTAGAGAGCTTCTGATTGGTCAGCAGATTTGATGAGTAACTGAAGTATGTGGCCAATAGCACACTCTGGATGTTTCTCTCTGCTACAGGAGGATTCTGTCTCGGTTTGGGGGCTCAGGAGTGTCCAAACCGGGTCCTGGAGGCGGTGTCCTGCATATTTTAGTTCCAACCCCAGTGTGGACACCCCTTCTCTAATTACAGATATCCTGAAGACACACACTGTTCATTAATGAGCATCATGTCATGGAAACCATCGTGCTAGAGCGCTGCTGAATGCCTGATTCTGATTGGCTGATGATCAATATGAAGCCCCGTCACACTACACAGTGATGATTGTCAGATGTTGATGATGTAAACTCAAACCTGCAGCTTTCTTCTGCTCATCGAACAGATCAGCCGAGCTGATGGCAGAACTGCTGGAGAAGTTCTCCAGTCGAGCTCGAACCTCGTACTGAAAACACAACACAACACAACACGGTCAGCCACTCCGCTCAGGTGTGATCAACACAACACCGCTCCGCTCAGGTGCGTCTGCCAGGTGTGTGTGCTCTGCTTCACCTCTGAGCGGTCCTGCGTCCCGAAGAACATGTCTGAGGAAATGGCTTTAGCATCTCCAAACTTCCTCTGAGCGTCATCACACACCGACTGAGGCTCCTTCCTCCTCGCTGAGGCCCTGCACACACACACACACACACACACACACACACACACACACACACTTTATTAATGGTTTTGTTAATTTGTTTTCATTTTTTTAGTCCCTTTATTCATCAGGGGTCACCACAGCGGAATGAACCGCCAACTACTGTCAGAGTGAACTGAACATGTCCAGCAGTGTTGGGTCGGCTATATGTTTATTACATCATTATGAGTGATTATGTATTATATATGACATCAGAAATGTGTGTTGTGAGGTGTCCGTCTCACCTGTGCTCATCCTCCACACAGTAGTCAGACTCCGGCTTCATCCTGCTCTGCTTCTCTGAGCTCCACTGAGAGAAGAACAGATCTGAGGAGCCGCGGCCTTCATCTAGAGCTCTACGACACACACGCACATGAATGAACACACACACACACACACATACATATATATATATATATATAGACAGCAGTGAGGCGTCACCTGGAGCAGAAGTGTGTGTCCTCCTGCTGCTCGTCCTCCTCATACACTCTCCTGGAGCTCAGAGATGGACAGTCCTGCTGGATGATCGTCTGCATGTCCTCCGTCACCGAGTGGGACAGACCACTGCACAGCACAGGGGAACATTAGCCACGCCTACTCACTCACACACTTAAACACATTAGCCACGCCCACTCACACTCACTAGCCCCGCCCACTCTCAAAGATCATAATAATGCCTCATTATTATAAGCCTTACTATTAACATTAGACACGCCCACTCACAAAGATTAAAATACCTCATTATAAGCCTTACTTTTAACTCATTAGCCACGCCCACTCATTAACATTAACCACACCTACACACAAAGATTAAAATAATAATAAATCTTATTAACACATTAGCCACGCCCCTTATAAGCATTAGCCACGCCCACTCACAAAGATCAAAATAATACTTTATTATTATAATCAGTCTCATTATTAACACATTAGCCACGCCCACTCACAGAGATCAAAATGCCTCATTATTATAAGCCTTACTATTAATGCATTAGCCACGCCCACTCTTTTTACATTAACCCCACCCACACACAAAGATTAAAATAATAAGCCTCGTTAACACATCAGCCACGCCTCTCAATAGCATTAGTCACGCCCTCTCAAAGATCAAAATACTGCCTCATTATTATAATCAGTCTCAACATTAACACATTAGCCACTCCCACTCACTAGGATCAAAATAATGCCTCATTGACACATTAGCCACACCCACACATTTACAATAGCCCCGCCCACTAATAAAGATCAAAATACCGCCTCATTATAATCAGTCTCAATATTAACACATTAGCCACGCCCACTCACAAAGATCAAAATAATGCCTCATTGATACATAAGCCACGCCCACTTAAAGATAAAAATAATGCCTCTGATACATTAGCCACGCCCACTCATAAAGATTAAAATACCGCCTCATTATAATCAGTCTCAATACTAACACATTAGCCACGCCCACTCACAAAGATCAAAATAATGCCTCATTGATACATTAGCCACGCCCACTCAAAGATCAAAATAATGCCTCATTATTATAACAAGTCTTGTTATTAACACATTAGCCACGCCCACTTATTCACATTAGCCACGCCCACTTACAAAGATCAAAATAATGCCTCATTGACACATTAACCACGCCCACTCATTCATATTAACTGTGCCCACTCATAAAGATCAAAATACCGCCTCATAATTATAATCAGTCTCATTATTAACACATTAGCCCCGCCCACCCTCAAAGCTCACTCGTTAGCCCTTCACACTCATACACTCCAACACACTAGCCACACCCACTCACAGAGATCAAAATGCCTCATTATTATAAGCCTTACTATTAACTCATTAGCCACACCCACTCATTTACATTAACCACACCCACAAACAAAGATAAAAATAATAAGTCTCATTACCACATTAGCCACGTCCCTCATTTACATTAACCACACCCACACACAAAGATTAAAATAAGCCTCATTAACACATTAGCCACGCCCCTCAATAGCATTAGCCATGCCCTCTCAAAGATCAAAATACTGCCTCATTATTATAATCAGTCTCAACATTAACACATTAGCCACGCCCACTCACAAAGATCAAAATAATGCCTCATTGACACATTAGCCACACCCACACATTTACATTAGCCACGCCCACTCACAAAGATCAAAATAATGTCAAATTGACACATTAGCCACGCCCACACATTTACATTAGCCACGCCCACTCATAAAGATCAAAATACCGCCTCATTATAATCAGTCTCAATATTAACACATTAGCCACGCCCACTCACAAAGATCAAAATAATGCCTCATTGATACATTAGCCACACCCACTCATAAAGATTAAAATACCGCTTCATTATAATCAGTCTCAATATTAACACATTAGCCACGCCCACTCACAAAGATCAAAATAATGCCTCATTGATACGTTAGCCACGCCCACTCATTCATATTAACTACGCCCACTAATAAAGATCAAAATACCGCCTCATTATAATCAGTCTCAATATTAACACATTAGCCACGCCCACTCACAAAGATCAAAATAATGCCTCATTGATACATTAGCCACGCCCACTCATTCATATTAACTACGCCCACTAATAAAGATCAAAATACCGCCTCATTATAATCAGTCTCAATATTAACACATTAGCCACGCCCACTCATAGAGATCAAAAGTGCCTCATTATTATAACAAGTCTTGTTATTAACACATTAGCCACGCCCACTTATTCACACTATCCAAGCCTACTCACAAAGATTTAAATAATGCCTCTATTATAATAAGCCTCACTATTAACACATTAGCCACGCCCCCTCACATTAGCCAGGCCCACTCACAAAAATCCAAATAATGCCTGTGTGTGTGTGTGTGTGTGTGTGTCTCCTCCACCATCTCATCAGTCTTTTGCTCTATGACGTCATAGTGTGGGTAAGCCCCGCCTCCTCAGAGGAGCACTGCCCACTTCTACTGCACTGCCTGATTAGAGCTGCTCATATGAACAGCTGACAGCCAATCACATCAAAATCAGCTGATAGATCAGCAGTGTGTG